TCAAAGGCTGCGTCATGAACATTTAACATAAATAGCAGATCAGAGGCAAGAATCAGAAACCCAACAGCCTGGGCTGTGCACCTCCCTCCTCCCAATCCACGTGTCCTAATGACTTCAGGGCTCATCATTTCATCTCTAAGACTCAGTTCATTTTTCCCATGTACAGTGGGGGTGACGGTAATAATTCTCTGAGATGGCAAACATGGTGCTCAAGGGAGGCGGTCCATACACCATACAGGTGTCTTGTACAGATTTCTCCCTGCTTTCTTGCCTCCGATTGCTCTCTGAGACATGCAACTTCTTCCTCCCAGACCAACCTTCTAGCTACTGAGTGGTCCTTTGCTCGACTCTTCCTCCTCTTCTCCTCTTTCATCCCATCTTGTCCACCACATCACCTGCATGTCCCTTTGATGACAACACTCATCAAAGTTTATTGTAGTTATTTTTTAACAGGAGTCTTCTACCAGCATGGTTAGCTGTATCTATTCAGGGATCCTGTCTTTGTTTTTCCCTTAGCTGCACCAGCATTGTGCTTGAAATATATAATGAACACTTAATTGTTGATTAGTATACCAAAATGTAGGAAGTTGATTAAAAAAAAGCAAGCGTTGTATTGGAGGATGATTCTATCGGTGGTGGGCACTGTTGACAAGCAGCAAACTGTGGGGCAAGACTGGGACTTAAAATAACACTAACACTCAAATTAGGAGAGTGGCACCTAAGATGCAAAGAGAAATGAAATGTGAATATAAAGTGGAGCATGCAAAACTGGAAATACAGTAATATCAGGAAATGCCTCTAAATGCTCATTATCATGGGCTTCCTTCTACCAGTAATTCTATGGAGTCCCTCAAGACTCAGTTTAAAACTGACTTCATTTAAAATAAAGACTTCATCTTAACATGCTGTCTCACTACTATTCAATCATATTCTTGCAGGTATAATGCAAGCAATTTCATCCGTTATTTTTTTTACACTTGATCCTTAGCTGTTTTTCCCTAGTTCCAGAAATTCTATTTTTTAATCCAACTTGATCGAATGTTTCTTTTGAGCCAAACTACAGTCTCAGCCTATTTTATTTGCTTGTATTTCCTTACTGAGCAAGCTTGTTCCCGCAATCCATCATCGCAGTCCATTGTGTTGTATGTGTATCATCTGTCCTCCGGAACTTCCTGTCCATGAAGGGGCTTTATCTTGTGAGGAGGTGAACAGTAGGCACAGAATAAGCATGTACTGATGTGAAATGAAATGCGAGTCAAGAAATAACATTACACCGCATTAAAAATAAATGCAAAAACCCAGGTTCAGATATCAAAAAAGTGTCATGTACAGACCTCGTGAGCTATCGGCTCCTTTATGACTAGTTTCTTCCCTGTTTTGTGACTTAGGGAGTCCTCACATTTAGTAAATGCATTTAGTAAATACATTTAAGAATGAATTATTTTTGGACTGCCAGCATCTCTGTTCCCGGATTGGCGATCATAAGAAGTTGGGTTTAGATACCACGTTATACTTCGGTGTGATTGTTCTGACAGGTTCTAACCCCACAATCAGCCTGGACGATTTTCTCTTTAATCACATCTTTTCAATATCAGGAAACAATGATTTAAAACATGTTAGTGTCTCAGCTTAACAAAAAAATACTTTAAGTTTTTGGGATGTTTACGTTTTCTTAAAACCAAGTAATTCTATCTTTTACATTTTTGAATTTTATAGAATTAGTGGTCCACATTGATGGAATAATATAAATACAAGTGTAGTCATTTTTTCCTTTGTCATTCACAAGTTCTTCCTATGTGCAATGTAGAGACATTTTAAAAATATATTTCATGTCTAAAAATATTCAGATCACTTAGTCAAAATACCTGGCTCTCACCTATATTTTTCCTGCAATATTTTCTTTGGAAACTATCTATGTACAATCCATTTAATGAGTAGCTGTTTTTGTCTGAAGCTAGTGATTTTTATATTTTAACATGCTTTTGTAATGTGTTCTTGTATATACATTTTTCAAGTCTTTTAGAGTTGGTTGTTCTTCAAACATTCTTAAAAATTAGATAACGTTTGTTTTCAGGTTGATTCAGTAGCACTTCCAGTGACTTGTTTAAAGACATAAAAGGCTTAACATTTGTTTAAAAGTGTTCTGTGTGAGGCAAACACATGATCTCATTCATCATTCTCATCTCTTCTACGGGGTTGTTAACATGCTTTTTTAAAACTAATGCACTTTTATATGAGGAAACTGAGGCTCTGAGAGAAGAAGCACCTTGCCACAAGATTATAGGATTTGACCATAGGTCTAGGTATCGCCAAACTTTTGGCTTTCCTGCCTCACACTAACTCTGTGTTAGGGTAGAAACCAGAGAGGAGGTCACATGGTAAGGGAGAAGGCTCCGAGTCTGGCTGCAGTTACCTCATCTCATAGAGGCCTGAATGTTCAATTTGCATTAATGTTCAGTCTATGCCCATTTGAAGAGGAAACTGAGAACCATAGTGATGTCAACTTATAGACAGGGATCATTTAGTAAGTTTAGTACAGTCTGATTGGGAATGGTCTAATTGGATCAATGAAAAATTATTAAGCCATGCTAGCAGTTTTATAGATGAAGAAATAAAGACAGAAGGAGTTAAAAAGAAAATAAATGGGATGTAATAGACATCTTGATAACATGACCTTGTCATTGTTCTTTAGGTATTGCTATCAAGGAAATTGGTTATAATTTTGATTCTTTATAAGAGTCAGTTACATGACTACAACTGAATATAGAAAAATGGAGGCTATTCTCATAAGAATCTCATTCTTGAATTTATTTTCTACTTAGGAAAATCATATTTTCCACCTTCCACATCAAATATATTACCTGATCTTGTTAAGTCTGCCTACTAGATAAATAGAGAACACCTCCCATCCTTCCTTATCTTCACTGCTACCTATCGAGCCTCGTACACCCTCCTCATTGCAGCAATATCAAAATGCTTATAATTTCTGGAAAACACTAGAAAACTTTGTATCTCCCTGCTATACCACCATGACCCCCGGCTGAAATATTCTTCTTTATTTACTTGCTTGACGAATATTCCTTGTTTTAACTGACATGCCTTTCAAATGTGAACCACTCCATAAATCCATCTCTTAACTCTCCAGATAGATTTAATCACTTTTCCACTGTGCTAATAACACACTGTGGTTTTGCTTAGTGTGTATCGACTGGTTTTATTATATATAGGTCAATATCTCTTTCTACTCTGTTACTTCATTGTGGGAATAGCCACTTAAAAAAATCTGTTCAATGAATCAGCATACTAATGTTCACATTATAGTTAACATGTAATTGATGGACTATAGAGAAATACTTTGATGACTGCAATTGATGTATAATATACGAGGCAAATGCCCTTTAGTAATTTCAATTGGAAACAGTTAATGGCAAGTAATAGAAAAGATAACAATTATTTTGAATGTATATATACACACACTTCTTTATTTTCAATTAATTTTGTCTTATTTAATATCAACACTTTAGGGACTTTAAGAATATAATATAATCTATTACCCAAAAAGCAGCTATAGATTTAGTTATATTTTGTTTTGCCTAGATAATGTTTGAGAATGTTGTTCTAAAACAATCCCTGTTAATTAGATGGATTCGTAAAGAAGAGAAAAAAGTCTGGCTTTCAAACCAATGTCACTATAAATAGAATATCTGTAGAGTTGATTTCAAAGCCTTTTAGGGAATGACACATTAATCAACTTGATAAATCTTGTAGACTATATTTTAGGATTTTTGGAATTATTTATTGATTCTTTAGATGGTGACTGGGAAATGAATGTTGAAATAGATCCACAGGAGGTGAATTTCTTTTCTTTTCACCCTGCAAATTCCAGGCAGTGCTCCAGTGGTTCATATTTCTGGCATGTCGTGCTAGGCCATTATGTGCTGTGGTAATTAATGGCCATCTAAAACTTGAACTACTGATAGGGCAAGTTTATGCCCTAGATGTTCCTGAAAGTGTTTGCATTTCATCTTTTTTTTTTTTGGTCCCTATAAGTACAACGAGCCATCTTACACAGTGAGTCCTGATTTTAGGTCAGAAAATATGAAAATTGTCACTCACAACAATATTGGCATTGCACTTCTGCAAAGATGACTTGAACTTGTGGTCTAATATAACTCTCTATTTGCTACTTATGCATTAAAGTATGTTCAGTGAGGAATCATCGCGCTTTTACAATATAAATGCTTAAACTTTCAAGTTAAATATTAGAGGGGCATATAGAAATAGATGATGGTGGTCTTAGTCCTGGAGTTTAAGTGTAATAACAGCGTGATGTCACACACAGAACTTTTGGGGGGCTGTTGTCAACATCATTTGAGACTTCTTTCTAAGGCTGTTCTTCCCTTTTTCTGGTCCTAGAACAGCTCAGATGGGCCCTGATCCCTGCAGCCAGGGTTTTCCACCTCCGGCTCCTTTTCCTCATCAGAGAAATGCAGGGCGACAAAACCTTCTTTTGGAAGATAAGATATTACCTGCCATACTGGGGAACCTCCAAGATACTAAAAATGAAGAATTTATAATGTCGGTTAGGAGTTGTTTTTTCTCCCCCACATACTATTTGTAATTAAAATGGTTTTTATTCCAAAATTTGATTCCACATTGCCTTCCATGTTTTCAAAAAGGAAAAACAAAAGTGACCTTGAAATCCGAGAACCCAACTAAGTCGCATTTCTTCAGAGCTGTTTAATTGGAGATAAAGAGTAGATGCTATTTCTCTAGGGCCTGGATGCTGCGCTCAGAAAACAGAAGCAGGACTGAGAAATACTTGCCGAATCAGTGAAGGACGGCGGATTCTCTTCAGAACTTCTATTGGAGTTTACAGACATTTTCTATTTGAATGCATCATGGCAATTTAATTTCCCTTTAGATGGATTTAGTGTCTTTTAATTGGGAGCAGATTTGCTAAGAGATGAATATTCATGATGTTGGAATATTTTACTCACCTCTTTAGGGGCATTGGCCTCAATGAATTCAGAATAAATCATCTTGGCTTTGGATGCGATCTTTTCCGCACTCTCTGTTTTCTTGAAGTCTTCACAGGCAAGCCAGAACTCAACATTTTCTTCACTAAATTCTGATTTTAGAAATGTTCGGAAAGCATCTAGACCAGCTATAAAACATGTAAGAAAAAATTTGTATACCACATAGCTCAGTAATATAACCAAAGTAAGTACATTGTAGGGTGTGAGCATTTTTGGAGTATTCAGTGGCAAATATTTATCACCTCTCTAAATGTAACATTTATTTGTTTTAATTTTTAACATTAAAGGCCTTATTTGAATCAGTCACCATAAACATAAAATCTTGTATCTTTAACTCTACAATTAGCTCCATTAACAAAGAAAGCCTGTACTTTTTCTCTTCAAATCTGAGAAGTGTAGGAGTTGTGTTTAGGAGAGTCTTAATGTAAGTTACTTCATAGAAAAGCCCGTGGATGACTCTGCTTTTTGGATCCTCAGCACTGGGCCCAGGCCAAGTTCACCATGGTACTGATTTACAGTAGGAATGTCTTGGTTGTTATTAGTCATTGAGAAAACACAGTATTATGCTGTGAAGTTAGACTGTGTTACTTTGGATTTATTAAAGCAAAGGAGGAGGGCCTGGCCAACTGTAATCTCTAAATATGGGAAGTAATTGTCAAGATACTTAGTGCGAATGCTTCTCCCTGTTATATATTGTTGGGTGGATGAACATAGATTTAACAAATTTTAAAATTGTTTTAAAAAATAAAGTTGAAATAATAAGCCATTGCAAGGGGTTATTGGGTACTAATTAAAATTTCCAGTACAAATGGTGGGATGTGGATGTCATTAGTAGTGAGCACTGCGACAATGCAATTAGCCACATGCTTCTGGAATGTACAATTGTATCCAAGAAGCTTTCGTGACACAGATTTAGGTTATAAAAAATTCTATTACTAGCCCTTAATTAAAATTTCCTATGAGTTGGCCCAAACGAGGATGAATGTAAGGATTCTAAACAGAAGTTACGATAAAATGTGTTTTATATAGAGGATAAAGTACACTTTAATAATACTGAAAGAATATTTTCGATTCATGGAGGCATACAAGGCTTTTTCCCCAATGAGGAGTATCTAGGTACATCCCAGGAAGATGGGAAGTTAGAGATCAGGAAGCAATTACTGTGTTTTCCTGTCCTGCAGTTCCAGTGAAGGGCTCACAGTTCTGAACTCACAATTGTTATCATCTTAGGACACCATGGAATGGAATAAACAGCTAGAACTGCGGCTAGTTATCTCTGTCTTGAACACACTAGTTATTGAACTATCTCTCTACTCTATGTATACAATTTGAATGTTCCAGAGATGGACAGTGAATTTGGTGCAATGGGCCTGCTGCATGCAGTGAAAGTCTGACCATCGGAGGCACTCTCTGCCGGGTGGAATGGCTGTTGGTTAGATCCAATGGCGCTGACGCAAGGAAGGATTAGAAATCATCCGTGCAACCCACTCAAATGCCCGTGCCCAGTGCTCACAAAGCACATCCTCACGTCCACAGAACAATTAGATGCTCTGGTGAGTCACTGAATTGTCAAGAGCATTCAAGACATGTGAGCTCGTTCTCTGGTGGTTCAAAAATACAAGAATCACACAGCTGTTTGGATGAATCTATGCCTTTTCTGCACTGTGTGGGCATGAAATATGCGTCCCAGGAGAGGTGCCCAGGGAGGCTCAGCCCTGGTCTCAAAAGCCTCCGTGGCTTTCTGTGCTGTGCTGCAGCCCCCTGCCCTGTGGAGCTATTCTTGGGTCCCCATGGACCCAGCAAAGTTGCTTCAGCAGAGAGACCTCCTGCTCCCAGCCAACCCAGTCTATCCCACTGGTTATATGTTTAAGGGGAAAAAAGAAAACAGATCATGCCATTCAAAACTGGCAGAAATGCAATTCCATTTCACGAGGTCTTTTTTATCTGACCTTAGTCGAATTCTAGGACTAATGTGAATTATTTTATGTCTGTGCTTTCGGGAGATTAGTTATTTTTGAGTGAGAAAATCAGAGTATTTCATCTAATTCAGTATAACTTTATACAAGAATAAGTAGCCATGAAGAATTTATTCAGCTTTATCACGTGGTAAACTTTTCTAAAATTCTGGTATTTACTTTGTGAATTTAAAATGGAAATGACATTTGATTAGCTGAAACGATATAACATTTTAAGCATGTTCTGTATATGTATCTGTAGTTCATTTCCACCACCTCCCATTTGAGATAGAATTGCTGCAAAGCACAATGATTTATTACAGAAAGTTCTAGTGACTTTTTCTAGTGACCCTTTTGTATCATCTGGGATATTTTACTTATAATTGGCCAAAATTACTTTATTGAGCCATCATATGTAGTATAAATGCATATCAACTCATGCATATTGATATACATATACATTTAAATAGAGTTTTGCATTTACTAATAATAAGAATAGCTCATGTGAAATAAATACTTTATAAGCTTTCGTTTGGCCTACCAGACATGAAAAACAAGTGATTTTTAAAAATTTTTCAACTTTTCAGTAGTTTGTGTGTTTCTTTCAACTTGTAACTAAAATAGTCCTTATAGACAGTAAATGGTAATCAGTCTAAGGAAATGATGAATTTCTCACTTGTTTTCCATTTAATGTTTGGAGTTCCTATAACCGTGTTTTATTTCTGGCCCAACCTAATTCCATTTAGACTCTGGGCCTGTGTACATTTGTGTGACTGTGGAGAGTCTTATACTTCAAACACTGATTAAAGTGACACTGCAAAATATGTCTTTCAGTTTCAGAACCTGTTCTCGGTGGGTTCTTACCTTGGTTGGTTAGGACAGTGTCCATGTTCTCTGACCACGCCGCTGCTTCTGTTGCTGGCGACCTGTAGAAACAACATCTACCCTTGACAATAGCATTGTGATCTTTCTCTTCCGTAACCTACTGTAATATCTGGGGTAGGTGTATTTGTTGAATCACATCATTTAAATGAGCTTTGCTCCATTAATCAAACTGCAAAATCAAGCAGAATTATACAGGGTGGGTAAAAGTAGGTTTATGGTTCTGAAGATGTGAAACACAGGTTTTATCCTCACATCATTATTTACTAATTATTGTGTTGTTTTCTACACAAACAACTGTAAACCTACTTTGGCTCCACCCTGGGTGATGTTTTTCCACAGTGGACAGCAGTTCAACATGAAGTAGGATGTAATTTGATACCAGCAAGTTGTTTATTAATCTAGCTGACGGTGCTAATAATATTTGCAAATTCTTGAATTGTAATAGAGGCACAAGAGATGTTGCTTGAGGTTCTGTGAAGCATAGGACATTTCTCCTCAACTACAAATAGGTTCATTGGTAAGTTATGAGGCATTTTTCTATCCTGTCCCTGAAAAGTGACCACGATAACATTGGGATGTATGAACTATTTTCCAAGTTTTCACAGTATGGGAAATTATCTGCTTCATAATTATGCATCTCAAAAAAGTTTTAAAAGCATTTAAAATGAGGATTTGGTCATACGTAATGATCTTGAAAATGTTCTTATGTATTTTTGGGAAGTCTTTCCTCTGACTCTGAGTCAGTCTTTGGTTTCTCTTAGACTGGCAGGCTTCTGGTTCTGTACTGACTTATTTAAATTCAGAAATCCATCAGGACAGAGTCAAATCTTTTGCAAAGCAGTCAGAAAATTTAGAGACTCAGGCCTTCTGAAGAAGGTATACTTTGGGGGATGTGATACAGAAATAACAAATCAGGTTTAAGATACAAACTTTTGAGATGGCAATTGTATCATGAATTTAACAAAAAAAAATATCCTGGCGAAATAAGCCCCATCTATAGAAAAGAGCTGGTCAGCTAAATAAATAAATAGATAAATAAATAAATAACAAAATCTTGGATTATGAAGCTATGATGTGCAAATGACTTAGTTATGGAAAGGGATGGTTAATTGAAGGTTTCTATTAAAATGATTGAAAATAAAATAGAGTCTTACGCTTAGTCATTCTTACAAAATTTTACATTTGCTTGTCGTGACTAATCTTAGAAGTGCTAGTAGGAAGCATCTCCAAGCTTTTCTGCTCTGTTTGTCCCTGTAAGGGGCGGTGGCTCCATCATCACTGTTGGTACTGGCTGTGCTCTCCCTTCTGCTGTGCTGGTTGTGGTCGGATTCCCGGGGAACGTGGGTGTTCTCAGAGAGGGCGGTCAGAGGGCTGCGTGACGGGTTGCTCTCGTTCATCACTCACGTTTCCCCCTCACATTTTCTTTCCTGTGGGTTAGAAACTGACTTTCCTTTCTCCCTCGATTTTCTAAGTCTTGGGGACGCAAGCTTTTCTGTGAAACCATTTTGAAATAGTGGTTTCATTCCAATGGGCATTTTAGATCATTTGAGTTGTTCAGTGTTCATCTTTGATAAACAGAAAAGGAGACCCAACTCCAGATTTAGTTTTACCCTGGAGAGTTTTTCCGCACCACAACACCTGTTACTGTAATATGCTTATCTTATAAATCCTATGACGCAAATATAAGGTCTTGCGGGAATTCTATCAAAAAGTGCTAAACTATCATATAGTCACTTAAATAAAATGCACATGTTTAAAAATGTTGTCTCTATTTGCAGACTGAAATGTGGTGGTTAGCAGGGTGTTCAGGTTAAAAGCTCCTGAGGAATGAATGTCCATGACTAGGGCAAAAAAACTTTTTCATTCCAGACCTGGCCACACAGTACATCGACTTTGAATGAGGACCAGCTGTCAAAGACAAACACTGAGAGGAGAATCCAGGCGGCCTCATTCAAGGTTAAGTGTATACTCTGATGCTAGTATGTGCGTTCTCTGGTGATCGGAAAAAAATGCTGTGATTTCCCAGCATCAAGACCAGTGTGCCTGGTCTAAGAAATATCTGTTAAGCACATAATCAAATACTGAATGAATGACCAAGCCCCAGGAGTGGCAGGTAGGAAGGCCTTCAGTGAGAACAGTGTGGCCACTTTCCAGATGCTGGTCGATGATGGTGATAAGAAGGTTATTGACAGGTGTAGCTGAACTGTTGTAGATTCGAAGCGTGTTCAGGGCAAGGGAAGAAGAGAAATGATGTGGAAATATCACTGGGTGTGGGGAGCAATAGACCACAGACCTCACTCTGAAGCCTGAGGTCATGAACTTGGAGGAAATGGACAACATCCATTCTGGGAGGCATCAGGGCCAGTCATGTCCATCAGGGAGAGACTGGTTTTGCTTAAGCCCAAGGCAAAAGAAATAGTGGAGGGCTCATTGGATGTTAAGGAGTCTTTTTGGAATGGGAGTGTTCGAATAGTGGTAGGTGTTCTTATCGTCTTCACTAATATAGGAAACAGTGTGAACCGAAGACGACAAGGCCTGGGAGATGGTGTAGAGCCGGGGACGAAGGGAAAGTCCTTATGTTCTGAGTTAGGGAGTTACACTGAAATATTACAGATTGCACCCTGGGTGGTGTAGCTCAGTGGATTGAGTGTGGGCCTGAGAACCAAAGGATCGCGGTTCAATTCCCAGTCAGGGCATATGCCTGGGTTGCAGACCAATTCTCAGCAGGGGACGCATGAAAGGCAACCACACATTGATATTTCTCTCCCCCTCTCCTTCCCTTCCCTTGTAAAGATAAATAAATAAAATCTTTAAAAAAATTACAGATTGCCTACAGCTATAGAATTCTATAGATAAGAGAATTAGAGATACTAGACTGTCATGATAAAGGGAAGTGTTGCCCTTCCACTCTGAATTGATACCCCTGGTGGTGTGTGATAATGCTTGGAATGACCCCAAATCATTACTTTCAACCGATTTCAAGTTCCACTCAAACGGTTCAATTTTGACTACCCCTGTTAAAAGGGCTGGTGGTAATATATTATTTACTTTTCAGAAGTTAGGCAGAAGGCAACTATTCTAAGGAATAATGCTAATTTGATCTTTATTTTGGGGTGATGGTATATTTAGAATTCTGTGGAAGAGCAAATTACTGCTAAATATGTCTAAGTTAAAAAACAGTGTAATAGCACTAAAATGCATGGCCACACACTGAGCGTTTTTAGTTTGTACTTCCTTGTGCGAAGCGTACCGTGTATTTCGCCCCATTTAACCTTGAAAAGGACAGAGTCCGTTTAAGTGCCATGCTCCCTGTGAGGGGAGACATTCAGAGACACCAGTACCTGGTGCAGCCGGTCCCCTGCACTAGCGGGCAGTTAGAATTCCAGCAGGGGTGTCTGTTTGCAGTGCAGACCGTTTTACTGTTCTTCCTGGAGTGGGTGTGTCCGTGTACACATGCTTTGTTCAGGTTTTGGAACATTTGTTGCAATACTTTAAGAATCTTTTTTCTGCGGTAGCGTTTTATTGTATTTCCTACATTTATTTTCTCTGAATGATAATTAATTTGCAGTAATTGGCTACTCAAACAATTTTCAAAAGAGAGTCTTAATTCTTGTAAGCTATCAGATGAAAATAGGACGTATGTTAGATGAGAGTGAGAAATATCTCTTAAATTAAAAAAATTCAACAATGTAAATGAAAGGAATTCATTGAATTAAAATTGGGGTGGGGGAAGGGAGTGGCTGATTTAACAGTGTACTGGCTTGGTTAAGTTTTACTGGGCATGGGTTACTTTAAGAGGACAATGTCCTTCCCCTCTTTCTTTCCTTTTATTTGAATTTTTGTTGTAACTTTTATAAATGATTTTATTAATTTATTTTTTTAGAGAGATGGGGAAGGGAGGGAGAAAGAGAGGAAGTGAAACATCAATGTGTGGTTGCCTCTGGCATAACCCATACTGGGGACCTGGTCTGCAACCCAGGCATGTGCCCTGATTGGGAATCAAACTGGCGATGCTTTGGTTCGCAAGCCTGCACTCAATCCACTGAGCTGCACCAGCCAGGGCTAAATTTTCATTATAACTTTGACAGAGCTTTTGCCTGGCCCTTCTCATTGTGTGTGTATTTCCTGTATAATTGTGGTGCATAATCAGAATAGCTCTTTGTGTGTGTGTGTGATTTCCATGGAAATTCTCTGTGTGTCTGGAGCCAAACTCCCACTTAGTATTTCATGGGGTTTTGGCTGATTCCTGTTCTGTCTCGTTCATTAAGTCAGTGACATCAAGGCCAGCAGTCCCCATATTCTGTGTCCAGAGAAGAGCCAGGCCAGATGGGAGCCGCGTGAAAGCTACCAGTTATCTTGCTAATTGTGCCAGCTAGATCCAGTTGTATTGCATGAAAAAAATGTGGACTCCAGCAACTTAGCTGTTCACACTCAATTAGCAGTGTGCTGGAGAATGGGAAATTCAAGCAAGGAACCCATGTGCTCCAGGAACTGACAGCTGCCTCCTTAATATCCATTCTCAAATTTGCACATAAGCATTGCAATAATGAACAGTGTTTGCAAGGATTATATATATATATATATATATAATATATAAGATATAAGATATATATATCTTATGCCTCTAACTCTAACATTTAATATCTTGGAAAGCTTCACAGAAAGAGAAGCTCAGTGGTTTACTCCACTCTATAACCTTTCTGTATCTTAGCGAGTATAAAAATGAACTGCCACAGCAAGGAGTCGTTGACATGTTTTGGAAATGAAGAAGAGATCAATAGAGAAAGGAGAAGAAAGATAAATCAGGAAGAAAGACAAAAATTAGCATTTTCATTATAAACGAAGGAAACAAAGCATCTAGAGTAATGAGGAGTCAAGTGTTTTGTTTGCACATCTTCCAAGGTAAAAAATGGCGTTAAGAGGCGACTCACTTCACCGGCATCTTTCTCCGTCCCTCTGACTGTGACGGTGGGCCCAGTCTGTCTTGCTGAGTGATCTTCAAGCTGCGGGCGTGCCAAGCAGGAACACCACAATTAGTATGCAGATACCCCTCCCCTGGCTACAAATCGTCATTCTTTAAATCATGCCATGTTTGGCTTCTTTAATTTTGTCGTTCACTTTTCTCTGGTCAAAACACTTATTCTTCTAAGTAACAAATAACTCCTTGAATAAAGGAGACATTTCTCCCAGTCTTCGGCATTCTTGAAATAAATTCCACTTGAAAGTTTGGTTTTTAAAGCTCGTATACATCCATTTACATGACAACTATTGTTCACTTGAGGTTAAATCAATTCAGAAAATATATATATATATATAAAATGTAATATTCACCTTCAGGTCTTTAATCTGTCAAAAGATTACTTTGTCTTCCTTTGTTCTTTGATTTTCAAAAAGTCTCAAGAAGATTGTACTTTTAATACAGTTATCTTAATACATGCTTAGGTATTTTTACAATTTTATTCAAGGATTAAAATGTTCTAGCATAAGGTATTAACTCTTTTTGAAATTTATGTGCTTTTTACAGCTCAATAACATGTATTTTTCTATTTCTGTTAACCATGAATCTCATGGCATTTGTGCTAATATTTCTTTATGAAATGCTGATGTTGAAGGTAATAATGCTTTAATATATTTATCAAAACCAAGGCTATGTATTGGTATTTTTATTTGTGGTCAAAGCTGTCTACATATAACCCCATGCTTCATCAAGCTTGTATTTTAAAATAACAAACTTGTTTGGGAATGCATTTCTACCAGTGTATACTAATGACCCTCAGTGCAAATCAGATACCCCTAAAAGACTGACGATTTCAGAAGAAAGAAAGGAGTCAGAAGATGGTAGAAATCTTCTCCCCTGACTGAGTGGGGAAGCTTCCCCATTTAGTGGATGTAAGAAATACCAGGGTGGCCTCATATGCAAGGGCCCTGGGCTAAGGAGACTGATGGGAGGAGAAGGGATGACCTAAAAAGCCAGTGTATCATTAAGAAAAAATGCCATTAATTAGCTCAATCCATTTTGTTAATTCAAGCACCATTAAGTAATGTTCTTATGATAGGCAAGAACTGAATCATTAAATAGATTTAGAGTTTGTTTTGCTGAGGGAGATAATGAAGTACCAACTTGACAACATATGTGTGAACTCTGTGGAAAAATAAACTGTTAAGATTTAAAGATGCTCTTAATTAAAAAAAAAAGTGAGGTCCATAAGAAAGATGAGCCAGGAGTAGGCTTATTTTACATAAAACTTTAAAACAAAGCCCGAAATTTCTGTTTGGAGTTCAGCGCTGTTGCTGGTGTGCTCCTTCCCACACTTCTTGCACAGCACTCGGGGCCCTTCATCTGACCTGCACTTCCCAGTCCTCACCTGCTTTTGATTTTTCAGGAAAGCTAAGCATTGGCTTCAATTTATGAATGTGAAGGTTCATAGGAAGTGAGTGGTGAGTAAATAAACTGTCTCTTTAGGCCGAATGACTCTTTCCTGTGATCAGTACATCTTGACAGAGGTGGCCGTGTTTAAGAGTTGTTGGGGCACCTCAGTAGGGCCGACTAGGAGTCCCAGGGGCCCCGTATCCACGCTCAGAGCCCAGGCCTGGTCTGATAGGCTAAGCCATGGCCCCCAAAGATGCCCAGGTCTTTTTTGTGTGTGATTATTATTTTCAATTGAATTTGGGGGGGTCACATTGGTTAATAAAATTATATAGGTTTTAGGGTTTAGTTCTACATACATCAAGATGCTCAGATCTTATAATGCCTGGAACTTGTGAAGATGTTCTATAATGTGGAATTATGGATAATCCCAGATTACCTGGATGGGCCCAGTATAATTACGAGGTTTCTTACAACAGGGGGAAGGAGGGCCAAAGTCAGCAACAGGATATGTGAGGACAGAAGCGAGAGTCAAGCAATGTAGGAGCCCCTAGATGCTGAAAAGGCAGAGACACAGATTCTCCCCTCATGGCCTTGAGAAGCAACCGGCCTCACTGCCATCTTGACTTTCAGCTGGCGGGGCTGGTTTTAGACTTCTGCCCTTGCAGACTCTAAGATAAAAAAGTTTTTTTATTCTGAGCCACTGTTGGCGGTAGTTTGTTACAGCAGTAGCGGAAAACTAAGACATCCAAGGGACTCCACTCTTTAAAGCCCTACTTAAAAGAAAGCAGAGATGGAATAAAACTTCGCGATGAGAGCTGTGAGGTGGTCTGTAGGTGTGCACCCTTTCTGATGAACAGTAGCCTTGACCTCTGTGGGCCTCTTTGCTACTGAAATGGAGATAGTGCCTTTCCCATGGGTTACTGTGAGACTAAATGGAAACATACCCAGCCAGAGCATTGCACGTCGTGCTGCTTATACACGTTTGTTTTATTCCCTTTCCCCTTACTGGACATTCCCAGAACTGTAGCTAAGATGTAGTGTGAGATTCTACGGACAATATGCTGTCATGCAAGGATCTGAGGCTCATTCTACAATCTTTTTGAGTGTTTACATTGTCACAATTGTTTAAGAAATTGTGATAGGTGGTACAGGAATACAGAACTTTAATGAGACAGTATGAAATTGCTGATTTTGGGAAATTAATACAAGGAGGTTGTGGGTGGAATGAATTGGAAGAATGCAAGAATAAAGGCAGGGAGTGGGGAGAGGTAGACGTCTAATGTGGTGGTCCGAGCAGGAGATGACAAGGGCTCGGACAGGGTCAATGCCATGAGATGGAAAAGCATACACCAGTTGTGTGGTGCTTGTGTAGACGGGTAGGGCAGAGAGGATCACAGGACAGAGTTCACACCTGGTGGCCTGCACAAGGCGTTTCTGCTAGAGATTGTAATTACAATGAAAGAAAAGCAGGTTCAGGGAAGTGAACAGGAAAAGTCTAGTTTAGAGATAGAGAGACAGGTGTATTACACAGTGTGATGGGCTTTGCCGACCCACAGAGGCTGCAGAATTTCGACAGCTACTTGAGGACAATATGGATAAGGTCCATCCAGATGAAGCCTCTCTAATAGCTCAAGAAAACCTTCACTGCCTACACCTCACTACTGAGGGTAGGAGAAGAATAATTATGTAAGGATTAGACCCTTGAGAGCATTATTGCTAAGTGAAATAAGCCAGTCAGAGAATGACAAATATCATATGATCTCACTTATATGTTGGAATGAGTGGATAAAATGATCTAACAAACAAAACAGAAGCAAACTCATAGATACGGAGAGCAGACAACGACTGTCAGAGGGGAGGTGGTAGGGAGGCTGGATGCGAAAGATGAAGGGATTACGCCAACAAAACAAAACCTCGTAGACAGACAGCAGTATGGTGACTGCCAGAGGGAAAGGGGGTAGGGGGAGGCAGAAGAGAGTAAAGAGGGGATCAGTGGTGACAGAAGGGGACCTGATGGGGGGGGGTGAACACAAAAATACAGTGTACAGACGGTGTGTTACAGAATTCTACACCTGAAACCTGTATAACTTTATTAACCCGGGTCACCCCAGTAAATTCAATAAAAATAATTTCAGTCTCGTACTTGCATAATTTAATCTAAGTGGCAGTTTACTACTTGGTGCAGGTTCAAGACAATGCTTCTATTAAAAAACATGCTAAATTAATTTGTATGATACCCATGTAAAGATAGTATGGAATATTTGAGGGGAAAAACAATAATAAAGTAACTGAACACTTAAAATGCATCAGAGACTTCCTCAGCATGATCTCCCTGGTCATGCTTCTCTGGAAGAGAAAGTATTTTTTATTCCCATTGCACCTATGAGGAAACTGAGACTCAGAGGTGTTAAATGACTTGCTTATGGCTGCAGTGCTAGAAAAGGATGGGGGCGGGGCAAGGTCGAGGGGCAGGACCTGGTGTTTGAGCAGTGGCCATGGTAAAACCCCCGCAAGATTTAATTTAATCTCGCAAAGGGCACGGGGAAGAAATAGAGGGCATAGAACCAAGCACATAGCTATTTACTTAGTCAAGAAATATTTGAAGACTTCAGGAACTTTGATATGTAGAACACACAGCATGAACTGGGAAGAAGACCGCACAGTAAGTCGGAGAAGACTATGTTCTAGAGGGTGTGGATGTTTTTTAAGGACTCTGTTTGCAGCATTTGGTGCAGAGGAGAGGTGACTGAGACTGTCACGTGCCTAGGGGAGGTTGAGAATGAGGAGTTAAAACACTGTGGCATCTGCCATGGTGGCCTCTGGGAAGACAGGACCAACGAGATTCAAGGAGGGACAGTTCTCAGCAAAGCTGCATGATTATTAGTTCCTATTATGTTCTTATTCAAATTATAAGGGAAAGAGAGGATGGTTATTTTACCGTTATTATTTTCATAACGTCTTTCTAGATTTACATAATAGGCTTATCAAAAGTAGTTATTTTGGGTCTAAATAATTTAAAATTTGTTTCTTTTTAGAATATTTTTCAATTCTGCTTTGCCTCAAGTTGTGAGATGTAATTTATAAAGCAATGAGGCTGAACCTGGTATGGTTCATAAATTATTTCTGCGAGCATTCTGAAAGAGAAGTATGAAATGTTTTGAGCAATGGGAACTCTGCTGAAATGTGTCTAATCTCCCAAAGTGGCTGCTTAGAAATAACATGCTCATTTCAATGTTTAATTCTTGGTGTGCTTGTTGACATATCGGTCAGATTACTTGCTAGTTGCATCTCCGGATTGTACATCCGAAGTGCACTTTCTTTGTGTTGTTTTAGGAATTTCAAGTCACTGACAGTTGAAGCATCTGCCTCAGTCCAGTGAAATAGAAGTTTAACAAGCTTTCTGATGCAAACCAGAATGTCCCTTCTTACATTTTCAATGTTAAATATCCTGTTGCATTTCAGTGCATTCATAGACCCAAGTTAATTAGAATTAAATTTGAATAGCATGATAGAAATGAGTAAATCCAAACTTATGACCCAAATCAAAAGATGAGCTTCTCTCTCTTTTTTGG